ACTACCAGAAGGTCTGCCGTTCTACTGCTAAAAGCACTTTTAGTAATTCTAATTTATATCTCTGCTGTCACAGTCTCGGTCTCAACAAACACTCTCACGCTGTTATCGATGTGCTCATCAACGGTATTCCTCTGACAGCGCTAGTTGATACGGAGAGCTCTGAAAGTTACATTGCTGTCTCAGTTGTTAATCCGTGCATCTGAAAAGTCCTCGGATCACATTGCAAACTTTCGATAACCAATACCCATCTATCTAGTTTCACGAGTGGTCATTGTATTGTTACTGTGCCGTTTAAAAACCGCCATCACACCAACATTTTCTTTTCTCACCACTTTATGCTCTGATGTACTTCTGGGACACGCTTTCCTCATACTCCAAGCATTCGTTAAAACTCCACTTTTTAGTGAAAAACCCCTTACTCTGTGTGTTCTATTGCCCGCCGATGTAGCCCCTCAATCCTCGTTCGGGAATGACTTCCACTTTCAAACCCATCGCTACGAAATCGAGACTTCACTCAACCACAGACGAGTTCATACCACGGGAAGTGGAGAAGCTTCTTAAGGACGGGATTATTGTACCGTCTACATCGCCGTGGCGAGCTCAGGTTTTGCTAACTACGAACGACAGCCATAAACGCCGCATGGTTATAGATTATAGCCAGACTGTCAACCAGTATACTCAGCTGAACGCATACCCATTGCCGAATCGACGCTCTTATCGACAAGATTTCACGCTACTCGGTGTATAGCACCTTGGACCTGAAGAGCGCATATCACCAAATACCTCTTAAGGTAACCGAAAGAAAATTCAGAGCATTTGAGGCACGTGGAATTCTATTCCAATTTTGCCGTCTACCTTTCGTTGTAACCAACGGCGTGGCCTGTTTCCAAAGAGTTATAGATATAGTTATAACTGACGAGAACCTGAAAGCGACTTTCGCTTACCTGGATAAAATAACAGTGTGCAAAGCTACTGAAGGTAAACACAATTGTAATCTGGCGAAATTTTACGAAATCGCTCAGAAGTACAACCTAACCTTCAACGAAAAAAGCTTTATTCTCTCGATTAAGATACGACTGCTGGGTTACGAGGTTTCCTATAAGGTTGTACGGCCGGACGCAGATTGGCTTTAACTATTGAGATCCCTCCCTGTAGCCACTAACATGAAGTCGCAGCAACGTGTTGTGGGACTTTTTGCCTATTATTCCTTTTGGATCTCCCACTTATCCGGCAAAATCCGTCTACTGATCGACAACCGATCCTTTCCTCTCTCTTGTTCGGGTCTGGAGTCGTTCGAAACAATCAAGAATTAGCTAGAATCTTATGTCTTCGTTTCTGTTGACGAATCAACACCCTTAGTTATTGAGACGGACGTCTCTTACATTGCCATTGCGGCCATACTAACACAGAACGGACGACCAGTCGCCTTTATCTCGCAAACGCTCTCACCCAGCGAACGACGTCATTCTGCTGTCGAGAAGAAGGCACACGCCATCGTGGAGTCAGTCCGAAAATGGCGCCACTATGTCATTGGTAATCGCTCCACACTTATTACAGACCAGCGGTCCGTCTTGTTTATGTTCAGCTTCAACCAAAAAGATAAGATCAAAAATCAGCGTTGGCGTATTGAACTCTCTTGCCACAATTATGATTTGGTCTACAGGATCGGGAAAGCTAATGTGGCCACCGACGCTTTATCGCGTACTTGTCGCTTCTCCTAGTCACACCCTGACACTTCAAGAACTGCATGATACCTAGTGTACCCAGGGGTCACTAGATTGTTTCCTTTGATTTGATCACGGAACCTACCTTTCTCCGTTAAGGAAGTGAAATCAATAAAATCTCGTTGCAATCTATGTGCCCCGCTTTTATAAGCCATCTGGAACACTCATTAAGGCAACACACCCTTTCGAAAGGTTGAACGTAGATTTTAAAGGTCGTTTACCGTTATCAACTAACGAGAAGTATCTCTTTACCGCTGTCGATGAATTTTCGAGATTCCCATTTGCCTATGCATGCAGGGACATGATAGCCTCTACAGTTGTTAATTGTCCAACCCAACTTTTCTATATTTTCCGTATGCCGCTTTCATTCAATTTGACCGCGATTCATCCTTCATGCCCCTAGAAGTGCGACAATTTCACACCCAGAAAGGCATTGCAGTTAGCCGAACGACGCCGTACGACCCCCAAGGTAACGGACAAGTGGAGCGGATTAATGGCGTCGTCTGGAAATTGATCCCCCTTACACTTTGTTCTAGGGGTCTCGCAATAACCCAATGGGAAAGCGCTCTGTTAGACGCTTTACACTCAATCCCTGCCCTAATTTACACCTCCACAAACGCTACTCCTCACGAAAAACTTCTCTTACGACGGTAAGTCGACATCTGGGGTCTCGCTATTGAGTTGGCTGAGTAATCCAGGGTCCGTCTTGCTGGGCCGTAGGGTGAGATTTTCAAAATACGAGCCACTAGTGGATGCGGTCGAGCTATTGGACTGAAATCCCCGGTACGCTCACGTTCGCTTTCCCAACGGAAAGGAAGGCATTGTGTCGCTGCACCGTCAGGACTACGTCAATCCACTAACCCTTCTAATCCTTTTCCCACAGATCCTCCCAATGAAATGGCTACTCATACGGCAACGGACCCCACGTACCCCAAATTATCCCCCATTGTCCACCTGACCCTTCACATCTTTATGAGCAGCAACAGCGGACGCGTGATTACTCTTTGCGTAACCACGAGGTATAGAAATATCCCCCTCCCACACCATTGTCCACAAACATCATGTCGGGGAGAAGACATAAATTGCATACATGAAGTTTAACTCGCACTCACTT